AGTATATACCAATATTAACCAACTTATGTTGCTTCAAACTCAGACACTAAAAGCGGCTCAAGCGCATTATTAATATTATTATTATTGCGTATTACTAGTATTGCATGTAATTTTGTAGTTAATAAAACACAACCCATATATTTGATTTTTTACATTTTATGTAATAAGAATGGTTTTAATTTGTAAAAAAGGAGAGGCCTTTTTATTTTGAAAAAAAATATACGGAAAATAAACTTCCATGATTATTTATTCTTGCATCATTGCAATATACATACAATGATATAGTAATTCTTTATTCATCTCCAGGATACACATTTTTACATAATTTGGAACTTTTGATTATTATACTTTATCATTATTGTTGTTTGTATCACGTATCAAGAGTTTTACTTACGTCAAGTACGTCAAGTGGTTTTAATTACGTCGAGTGCTTTTACTTTACTCAAATCGTCAAAATGGCCTCGATGAGAAACTACCTTTAATCAATACTTTAGTCACGTCAACGACTAAAGTCAAAAGTTTCGTCATATATCATTACTCCACCTCTAAATTTCATACTAATCTGGTTTAGGAATAATGCAAAGGCCCATTCCAAATCAATGTTTCCTTGGACAAATAAAAAAATATCTTCTATTAAAGATTGACTTAATTTTCTTTAATCTATTAATAAAAATAACGTTTGATTGTAGGTTTAATAAACCAATTACTGTAACTTATTTAGAGTCGATTAATTGTACCAAACAGCGACTGATAAATCAGTCAACCAACCAACCAACCAATAAATTACCTCGGAGAAATTTTGATATGACCTTATTCGAATATTCGAAATTTTATGGAAATGATATTGATATTAATATTTGATCCTTATTCAGTATATTTTCGAATATTCATGATACTTTCGAATATCCATAACACTTTCGAAATATCCATAATATTTTCGAATATCGTAATATATAATGTCATTAGATCATTATCTAAAATAAAATAAAAATATTTTTTTCCAAATGTCATATTCTGGTGGAAAACCAAATCATCATTCACAATGTTTTTAAATGAACTGGAAAACAAGCCGGAATAAACTTGCAATGTAAAAATATAAAGGTTCAATTGCTAATAAGTTCACTAATACAAAAAGAAGAGCGTAAAAGACACCTTAGGAGTTGTCCAACTTAGGACTGGATATGGTGAACAAAACAATCTTAAACGAAGAAATGTTGGTATTGATATTGATATTGATCTTTTGTTAACATTGTTCATCACGCAGCGCAAAATGTGATTTATTCGTAAGCATTAATTAAAATTTTTTTATTATACAAAAATGTTATTTATTATTACCTATTGTTACTTCGCCTAATGGTTTAAGAGAGATTTTTACTACAACGGGAACTTTGAGATTTATGGCTTTGGTAATAGTTTGTCCTGTAATATTCAAGTTTCTTTCAACTTTTTTCACAAAAACCTACTTTTACTTTGACAATCAAGATTAATTACAAACATATTATCACCATTGACAGTTTGATTGGTATTTTGTGATTTATCTAATTTTCAATTAATTAGCAATGAACTAATTTTGATTTGGATCGTATTTTATGATCGAAACAACTAAATATAGAAGATGGTACTGCTGGTGGTACTGCCGATGCCGGTAAGGAAGAAACATTTGTAATATTAAAAATTGTTAATAATAATAGTAATAGTAATGATGGTAATAATAATGGTGCAGAAGAATGACAATTCATTTTGTTTTAAAGAATGTAATTATGTGAGATAAATATTTTATAATTTGATCTTTTTGATGTGTATTTATATATTTTTACCAAAAAGGAGGTTTCTATAAATATCTCACTCTGCTAGCTAATTTTGATTATGGATTGGTTGATTTAATGGTAATTGTTGGGCTGGAGGCGCGGCGCATTTTATCAAACTTATAAATAACTGGTCGTACAAAGTACTTTATTACTATTTTTTGAATCCCATCTTTGTGCTAGTCAATTCTCTCCATACTCTTAAACTTTATTCGTATTTTATGGGATATTCGGTTCATCGATGGGTTGTAACATTATGAAATCTTGATCTGAAATTAAATTATAACTGATAGATTATTCGCCACCAAATACAGTTAAACCTCGATAAGCCGAACCACTATAAGCCGATTTTCGCTTTGTAACGATATAAAATTAGTTGGCCAAATCATAATTAATAAGATTATCTTGTTAAGTCGAATTTTAATAAACCGAACTTAAGATTTGATGTTGACCAATTTTAAGATTCGTCTTATTCGATTTATAATTATCTTAAAAGCAAATATTTACACACTAATAGTAATAGTAATGCATGCATTTGATATTAATACTAATTGTAAATCATCATAAACTGAATTTGATAAACCGATCCTATTTTTGTGATTTCCAAAAGTTCGGCTTATCGGGGTTTGGTTGTAGTAGTAAGTATTTTATTATCGTTACAAACACATACAGTCAAACCTTGCCACGGCGGATCTTACCACAGTGGATTTTTGTCACAATGATTTAGTAATCGTCACTTCTTTTTTATTAATATTAATTAAATATTGATCTACGTTCAGCGATCAAATCCATGTAAGATCAGGTAGGTGTGTCTATAATTAAAAAAGACGTAATGTAAAAACGTCAATGTGTGTTGTAGATGCTTCATGAGACGCTAATCGTGTAAACGTAAATCAAAACCTGAAGCAAGAGAGTTTAACAAACTAAACATAAATCTAAAACCAAGTATAAGAAAAAGAGAAAAGGAAAATTTTATATAAAGGTTTATTTATTATATATTTCCAAGCTTGTTTACTTGTAAATATCAAAAAAAAAAAACAAGCTCAAAAAATTCAAAGTATATTAAAGCAATAATAATTACTTTTTTTTTAATTTATATAAATTAAAAATTACGTGTAAACCATCAATCTGATTAATATTATCTATTAATATTAGCAATATTAGTCATCTCATTCTCACTTGGCATTAGTGAATGGTTTTTTGCTAAACACGATTATGTAACGGTAACCGTGTATGGAATTATTGTCAAAATAAATATAAAAATTACGTTAGAAATTGCTCCTGGAACCACTACTACATTTCAAATTGAAATAAGCAAACTTTTATTTCATAAATTAATCGAACGATTACCAATACAAATACAACAATGAAGGTTTGTCATACATCATCAATCAAGTTATACCTGCCACTCTATTCACCTGAAGGTAAAGCAAAGCCTGTAATCATCATTCCTAATTATCAAGCCAAAAATTGCTAAACAAGATCCCTTATCAACCAGGTGGTAATAAAAGCTGCTTTTCGTGTTGAATTAAAAAAATACTTGAAGAAGCAATGTGACCTCCTCACCTTGGTCGTGCACAATCACCAAAAGTGATAGCTTGCATCATCATATGGCTTCTGTGCAGTCATGTGTCTTGTATACCTGATCTAGTAACGTTTCCACAGTGTAGAACCGCCTTTTAGTCTTCCCGTCAGACCATTTTTGCATACCTACGTTCTGCCACAATATCGTGAGCTGGCATTCACATCATTCATCAACAATATCAAATTTATGTTCTTACTGGATTGGCCATAATATATTAATGGTGATGGATTACTTTTTTTGCTTTGCTTTATATTCAAAAAATATAATAATACTAATGATAGCAATGTTTTAAGTAAAAGCCCTCGTTTTTGCCCCCATCAAATTAAATAATTTTCCTATAATTATGAAGCTGGCTTCTTTTTCGAGCTTGGATTATTAAAAGTCATGCTTGCTATTAAAGAATAATTAGTAAATAAGATAGCCTATAGATAGATGGTATAGAGATTAGTATGTACCGATAGCACACTACCAACAGCAAATGTAGCTTTAATCAATGTATATCACATGTATAGCAAGTTGTAGATGTCTTGGTATAATACGTTTCATTTTTAAATTTAGATGCATTTCCTGTTAATTCAAACATTTCTGCGGATATTCTGGAACACCAAATTTTGCTCTAATGCATGCACTTTCTAGTTTTCAAGTAACGGAGAATATATCTCACTGAAAAAAATAATATGATTAGCAAAAAAAGTAATGTAAATAAAATAGGAATTTAACTAATATAACTCGAGCCTTTTCTTTTTGATGACTGAATCACCATTACAATTAGCAGAGCTGTCTAATCTTTTAAATAATAAAATAATATCATTACAATGTGTAACGAAATAATGGCGGTTAATGATACAAAATTATTTTGCATAACAAATAATAAAGTGTTTTGTTTATCTATCTTTACCAGTTTTCTCATCTCTCATTGAAGACATTTATAAAATAAAAGGCTTCTATTTTCTATCTCTAGCATCTTATAAGCACTACACGAAGATTGAGGTCTAGCTTCAAAACGGTTCACATTACATTACTGGCCTGACAATGCTCATTCATCAAGGAAAAATACATCATGAAGTGAATATTTCCTTTCATGCCGTTGATCACAATTTCAAAATGCCTAAATAACGAGTACTATTGAACATAAGCAGGATGGTGGCTGCCTGATCCAAGGTTTTATATACTTTTTCAAAAACAATCGGATTTCTTTTATTTTTAATTGACAAAGCTCCAGAAAATATAGAAGCATGTAATTTTATATGCGAAATCTTAAACTACAATCTAATTTTTTTTTTTTGGTATAATTTTTAAGTCAAAAAAATTGTGAAGGTTTAAAAAAAAGATGTGATTAGCTTTACAAACAATTGGCAATATTTAATCATGCTTTGCAATTGTACAAACCCACCTTCAATATTTGTTGAGATATGCAACTTTTTGTCACCTAAAATCGCTTCCATAAAAATGTTTCAATTGATCCCATTTAGAATTTTCATTGTTGCCAAATGGGAAAAAATATAGAAAGTTCTAGCATCATAATAAATGACTTTAAATTTTTTTATTTTTTTCCCACACAACATTTTCTTACGTGTCTTAAATTTTTTTTTTTTTTAAAAAACAAAAAAATGTACGATATTCGTGCTGTAGTTGGAATAGGTACAAAATTTTTTAAAATATTATTTTACCACTTTTTATCGAACAAAAATATTAATTAACGATTACGATAATATTGCCAACACTCATTTTTTTAAAAAATAATTAGATTTTGGAACAACCTATTCGGTAAATAGTCGTACTTACAATTTTTTTTTGTCAATTTATCTTTTATGATTATTATTCTTTTAACTGCAGGGATTTGCGTATTCGAATACAGCAATTCCTGAGATTGAAACAAATGAAGAATGGCCACCAGACGGCACAATCGGCAAATTTAAAACCAACACAGTATTGATGTATGATGAAAATGGTGATAAAGTTAAATTGTGGGGTAATAAAGCCTTGGTCAATAAAAAAGCGAGAGGCTCAAAAGATATTGGACCTATTAGGCCTATTGAATTATTTAAATTACATCTAGGAAGAGATATAGAAACTTCAGAAAACTTGGAATCAAGATTAAACGAAGTTTCTACACAGAATAGAATCAATTATAAAAAGGCTGTTGCTGATTATTTGAGTGAAATGGGTTTGTGTTTTTATTAACAATTTGTGGATTGATTCATTAATTCATCAATTAACTGTCAATTTGCCAATTATAAAAACAACATTAATAATCATTTAGCCAAGGTAATAAATATAGTACAATTCCTTTATTATTATAATTTATTCTAACAAATTTTTTATATATTGTTAGCTAATTAAAGATACCATCCAAAGAAGAATGAATTATTTAAAATTTTTCGAAAATGTCTTAATAGTTTTAAGTGTGCCGGTGGTATGTTTTATTTTACATGGATACGCTTATTTTCTCAAAAAAAAAAAAAAATTTTTTGTTGTTGTCATTATTATTTTTATTATTATTATTATTATTATTATTATTATTATTAGGAATTTACTGATAAAGCAAAATTTATTATGAGAGAATGTGTATTCAAGGCAGGTTTAATTAACGAATTACACAGTGAAAATTTACAACTTATAACTGAATGTATGTGTATTGTGTGATTCTTTTTAATGTTATTGATTTACATGTATATGAGTGTCTAATATTAATTGCTTACTGGCTTATACATTATACAATAACATGTTTAGCTGAAGCCACTGCAATTTATTGTAGAAAAGTTTTGGATGAACATTTCGAAGTTCCTTTTGGAAGTAAATAAATATTTTATAATAATTTATTTTTTCAAAGAAAAATTTTTATTCAAGAATGGTAATTAAATATTTTTTTTTTGTTAGAATCATTTTTAATTGTAGATTGTGGACGTGGAACAGTTAACCTGACAGTTTGTCGATTATTAGATGATCATAGTATTAGTTTAGAAGAAAAAACAGAATGTTCAGGAGATTTTTGTGGTGGAGACTTTGTTGATCAAGAATTTGCTAAATTTCTTGGTCAAAAAGTAGGACACAATGCCTTGAAATCTTTTAAAGAAAACCATTATGGTCGATATCAATATATCATTCATGAATTTTTTCATATAGAAAAACATCGATTTGACGGCAACGAAAGTGAATTTGACGCGATCGACTTTCACCTAGAAGGATATGCACCAATACTAATCGATTATATCACTGATGATTTGTTGAAAAGTAGATTGGAAGTGGATGAATGGCAAATCACATTGGAATTTCATCATATGAAATCATTTTTTGATCCAGTTATAAATAGAATTATTGGATTGATAAATAAACAATTAGAAAATGTAAAAGAATGCTCTGCAATGTTCTTGGTTGGTGGATTCTGTGAGTCGAGATATTTACAAAATGTGATCAAAAAAGAATTTCACGATCGAGTCAAGAATATTTCCGTGCCTCGTCATCCTATGTTAGCTGTTGTTAAAGGTGCAGTGGAATATGGTTTGAATATGAAGTGTGTTAAAAATAGAGTGTTGAAAAACACTTATGGTGTAATGTTAACTGTAACTCGTGGTACTAAAGTTGATGTCGACGAAGAATTCTCTGTTATTAGTACACCATTACATCCTAGTTCGAAAACCATGTCTATTGAAATTTTTGAAACATTAAGTCGTGCTCCTAAATTTTTTGATGAACCTAGAATGAGACAATTAGAAAAAATTAAAGTTGATTTGTCTGAAAATCCAAATTCAAATGGAGCATCTTCATCAAGTAGTGACAACATCCAAGATAATTTAGATGATGATGATGATGTGGATGATAAACGTTGCGTTGAAATAATTTTACGTTTTGGTGAGACAGAAATAAAAGCTATGGCTAAAGTAAAAGGAACTGGCGAAATTCGTCAAGCACTAATAAATTTAGGATTGTAATTTATTATTAGATGTATTTAGAAATTTTTTTGTATTTTTTCTGTCAAAAACATTCATAAACGTTATAAATGATATTATGTAAATTATCGTAAAATTTAGAAGGATAGCACCCCAAAAATATTTGAAACAACTGTTACTATTACTATTACACGTTTTTAAAAATTGGGTGCTATCTTTCCGGACTTTGCAGTATGTAAATATTATTACTATTATTATTAATTACAAATAAAGAATAAAATTAGTGGGTTTTTTATTTTTTTTTCTTCGGTTGATGGTGTTACTGATGTTGCAAAAAAGACTTGCCCAAAACGTGTTTTGCTAGTAATATAATCTATTAGATGGTGGCAATAATTAGTATTATCTTGTAAAGATAAACATAAAGTGATTTTAATAGCTATACCAGCTGTTCCCACCACACACTAGAAATTGATAGCGTTCTTGTGCAATGATTCTGTCATATAGAGCATTACGAATGTTGCTATTAATCACGTTGATGGATCCGTACAGATTACGATCTTTGAAAGGGATGATACATCACAAATTAACCACAAATTAATGATACTATATATGGGGCATTATTATACATGCTAAAAGTTCTGGGCCAAGCCCAAAATCTTAAAATACGCAATGATAAATCATTCTTTCTTTTACTTTCATGCTAAATTTTTTCGCAATTCAAAAAGGTCAACATAAGTATGATATTATTAATTTTACATTAATATTGAAATCACACAATGCATGATAAAAATATTTACAATGTACCATACAAGAATTACAACAGAGAAACGATTCTTTGATATTTCCTATTTTGGAAAACAATTAAATCAATAATTTTATATCAAAGATTAAAAAAGTCTTGTTTGTTTCTTTTCCAGGCCCTCTACTGTTTCTAAGTGCATGCATGATTATGAATATCCCTTTTTCATTAAAATAATAATAATAAGTGGCAAACATGACTCCTTCAATTTTTACTAGAATTCAGCGATCAAACTTTTGTCCATCAAAGCATGATAATTATTAGTAAGTTTTGTTTAAAAAATATACACGTGTAACAAAGTTGAAGGCTTCATAGGTATATAATACAATAATGGAATTTTAATTTTTTCAAAAACCATTTTTCTCATATTTATATATTAACAAATGACAGAATATATTTATGAACAATCATTATTCTCCTCTGAAATACAAGATTTTTTATTACATAATTAATGAAAAACATCATTCACAAACTTTTGTCCAGGTAGCGTATGTGTTGAGACTATATGGATAAAAGAAAATCATTTCAGAATTTTAATATTTACTCTCCTCAATAAATCTTCATTCAATTCAACTCAAATACAGAAGATTGGAATTGGTCAAAGAAATCCTTAGTTGACTATTAATTGGTCAAATTTTTTTTAGATAGTTGACTAAATAGTCAATTATTTTACATTAATTCCATTAATAGATTTAAATAAACCAACCAATGAATCTAAATGAATAAATGAATTATTAAGAAAATAAATTATTTTAAATTTCTTATGTTCAACTTTCCTTAAATTTAGGTAAAAGCATACTCTTAACAATTAAAGAGACATCATTATTAACAATTGGATTGTAATAATGACTTACATAAACAGAATAATCATATAAAGAGCTGGTTACATAAAGGAAACATTTGGCAAATAATTTTAATATATTTTTCATGTTAGAAGCACATTGATTCAACTGGCTCTCTGAATATTTTGAGCGTTTCCCAAAAAGCAGAGCAATAAAGAAGGCAAATTGCTAGCAGTTGATATCCATATAGTCAAATAAAGGAAAAAAATATCCTTAAAAGCATGCTTTGAACAAATTAACGAATTTGAAAGAGAATGATTTATCAATATCATCAATGAAGTTTGTAACATATATGAATTGGTCAACAAAGGGTTCTAGAATTGACTTTCAAATTGCACTTAAAAACTGGATCAGAACTATTTTCCCAAAGTCAAAAAAGGAACTGTTTTATCAGTGTTAAGTAAGATCAGTTATTGTCAGTACTGCAGAAAAATATAACTAGAAAATTATAAATGATTCTTGTCATTATTTTTTGTTATTATTATATGATATATATCATCAATATAATTATCAAATTGTCAAAATAAGCACTGCTCCCAACAATTATAATGGTTATTGTCAATTGTTTCGTTTAATAATACATTATCTTATTTTTGATATTGATTTTCTTTTAAATTTGCTGAATAAAGTTAATATCAAAAACCTCTATTTCAGTTTTTTTTAATTAAATATTAAAATATTTTTAGACATACTGAAATATGTTAATATATTTTAATGACAAATCGTTTTTATTATATTAGGACTGTGACCTGAATTTAGGACATGACAAAGGTTTAGACTTGGTGTAGGCTCTTTCTCAAAACTTGTTTAAAGGAATTCAAAAGAGTTTAGGATCACAGCATTGGTCAGGAATAATGGCGTTGTTAAGTAACAATTTAAAATTTTTAATGAAGAAAGTTATCACATGTAGAGGGTGATTTTTAAATAGTAAAATATCATTCTAAACTTTTAAATGAGGTCACACTATTTATTGTGAACCACTATTTAACAGGAGATTTTAATTGGCCAAAAAATTTTGCGTTTCAAGTAACAAGGATGGTGGTAGCAATAGATTTTAGTTGGAGATAATCAAGAATTTTAATCGCATACGTATCTGGTATATATAGATTTTATTTTGTAAATCAATTTCCTTATATAAAATATTCATTTTGAATTTTGAAGACAGGTTTGTTTTAATACTACTACTTTTTCAATAATTAATTTCCTTTTTTACAAAGAGGAAAATAATTTTTAAATTAATTGTACAATATTTTTTAAAAAATGGATAATTTAATGAAACATCCTCATTGCAACTATTTAAAATCATTAAATCTATTAATAATAATTTTCAATTTATTTTTACTAAATAATTTCAATTTTTTGGTTTCTGGTCAATTATTAAATATATGTGATCAAAGTTCAATAGTGTTAAATGATAAACTCTATTATTTTGGAGGACTTTCTTGTGGTTCAGCAAAATATACAAACCAAATAATTTACCTGGATTTATCCACATCATTTTCACTTAATCAAACATTACCAATAAAACTAATTGTTCCAAATTCAGCAATACCTCCATTTTATGATGCATCATTAGCATTAGGAGGAGTTAATAATGACACACTTTATGTTATAGCTGGATATAAAGGTTCAAAAGCAGCACCTGGTTCTACAGCCTATGGGTCTATAGTTTATTCAATAAATACAAATTCATTTGATACATGGACTCCAGAAACCCT